CCTCGCTTGCCACTGCCGCGTCTTCTGCCTCTGAGGAGACGGCGGCCGTTTCTGTCTCTGGCGGACAGAAACGTGGCAAGTCCGGCAAGAAGGGAGGGAAGGGCGGCGGGGGTTCTGGGGGTGTTGCGGGTGGCGGCAGTGGCGGTAGTACTAGTGGCGGGGGTGGCGGCGGGGGTGACTCGGGACCTGACGGCTCTCCTCTAGACGGTGGTGAGGGGTTTTCGCAGCAGCAGCAGCAGACTCCTCCGCAGCTGCCACCGCCTAGACAGCAGCAGCGGCAGGGACAGCAGCAGCAGCGCCAGAGCCAACAGCAGCGTCCGCCTCAGATGTTCACTTCCTATGAGGCGCCTCAAGCGACGTCTTTTAAGGCGCTTCAAAATTCGTCCCAACCCGAAAGCCTTAAACCTTTCAACTCTAGCCCTTCAAGCCACACCAGTTCATCCCATTCGCATCAGATGCTCACTTCTCAATATGTGCTTGCCCATATGTTCACGCTCACATCATATGTATGTATGTGTAAACACAACTGGGCTGGGCTTAGGTCAGGGTTCAACGTTCAGGGTTTAGCCACAGCAGCGGCAGTGGCAGTGACAGCAGCAGCGGCAGTGGCAGTGGCAGCAGCAGCGGCAGTGGCAGTGGCAGCAGCAGCGGCAGTAGCAGTGGCAGCAACAGCGGCAGTCTCTTCCCTCTCGTTTCGCTACCCTTCCTTCCTCGCCGCTCCTCCCCTCCGTCCCTCACACCTGCCAGTCCCTGCCGGTGCATGTGCTCTGCAGCAAGCCAGATGCAAGCGTTCGTATTTGAGGCACCTCAAAAATAGTCTCCCCCCTCCTCCGCTCCCTCTGTCCCCCCCTCCTCCGCTCCCTCTATCTCCCCCCTCCTCCGCTCCCTCTGTCTCCCCCCTCCTCCGCTCCCTCTGTCTCCCCCCTCCTCCGCTCCCTCTGTCTCCCCCCTCCTCCGCTCCCTCTCCTTCAAACCCCTCATGCACCGGCCAGTCTCTGCCAGTGCACGTGCTTCGCAGCAAGTCAGTCCAAAAGCGCCTGCTCGTTGCACTGGAGCCACCCTTTCCCAACCTCCCTTGTGTTTTTCCCCTCTCTCCCTTTCGTACCCTGCCCGCACCGGCCAGTCCCTGCCAGTGCATGTGCTTCGCAGAGAACCCGTCCAAAAGCGCCTGCTGGTTGCACTGGAGCCGCTGCAAGGGCAGCAGCCAGGGCAGGGGCAGCAGCCGGGGCAGGGGCAGGGGCAGGGGCAGCACCAACAGCAGAGGAAGCAGCGGCAGCAAATAAAGTCTCCCGCACTCTTTTTCTCCCTCCCCCCTGCACCCCACTCACCCCAGTCCCTGCCAGTGCACGTACTTCGCAGCTAGTCAATTCAAAAGCGCCTGCTCGTTGCACTGGAGCCACCCTGTCCCAACCTCCCTAATGTTTTTCCCCTCTTTCCACTCTGTACCCTGTGTTCGCCCACACCTGCCAGTCCCTGCTAGTGCATGTGCTTCGCAGCAAGCCGGTTCAAAAGCGCCTGCTCGTTGCACTGGAGCTGCCACAACTGAAGCAGCAGGGGCAGCAGCAGCAGCAGAATCAGGGGAGACAGCAGCAACAGCAGGGGCGGCAGCAGGGGCGGCAGCAGTGGCGGCGGCAGGAGGCGCATGAAGCTGCTGAGTCCGCTCCAAGCATGCCGCTTCAGTTTGAGGTGCGTTTAGTGCAGTGTGGTGCGGTGCAGAATGGTGCAGTGTAGTGCAGTGTGCACCTAGCACACTAGCTCAACAGTGATGCTACTTTTCCCTGCATATGATGCTACATATCTTCCTCCTCCCCTCCCACTGCACCTCTCCACAATCCCCTGAAAATCTCCTGACACGCTTGGGACACTCCCCAAAACAGGCAGCAGCTGAGCTGGAAGCAGTGGCAGCCAGTCTCAGAGAGACACCTGGCATAACGTCGGTGACTCTGGGGCGTGTGATTGGTGGAGGCGCCTTGGCTCCTGGATTTCAGGTATGAATTGCTGTCAGTCAGTTTTGATGGTTGTTGGCGTCCGGACCTGCCTGGTTTGAGGCGCGTTTTCAGTGTGATGTGCTTTTGAGGCGCCTCAAAAGTCGCTTTTAGTGTGATGGCACACAAAAACCCTTTGCCTTACATTTTTTTACATTTTGGGCATTCATCCAGGAGATGCAAGAGTTGCATCTACCGTACTGAGCATAAAACTACACCTCATCCTCACTAATGTTTGTTCCACGCTTCTGAACTTTGTACCTTACCTGCACTTCACGTGTCTTAGAAATCGTTTTCACAGATTTTGCTGGCGTCACAGTCAGACTCTGAATACAAGTTTGTAGTCCGTGCAGGGTGGAATAATGTTGTTTGTTCTCCCTTCCCTGCACATCACACTACACAATCCCTCATCTGCGCTCTCACAGATCTTCCTGGCATCACAGTCAGACTCAGATTACAAGCTTGTAGCACGTGCTGGGCTGACCATCCAAGAGGTAATGATCTTCCTTGACTAAAATTCCATGTTTCATGACGTACTTGTCTACCTGATTTATCCTTCGTCCGCTTGATGGTGGTGTGACTTGCTATTTTATTGGGTGGGCTGGGCACTTATTCATGTGTATATTTTGTTTCCTTCTTCTTTTTCTTTTTTCATCTGAGTATGCAGCTGCTAGTGGAATCGGACCTTGATAAGGAAGCAATCAGAGGTGCCATCCAACGAGCGATTGGGCAGTTGTGATTGACATATTTTGCAAAAAGGGGTCAGGCTAATTTCAATTGTGGATATTGGGACAAAGCTTTGTGTGAATCACTTGATTTGTCATGCTCTCTCAAAGTAAACTGTTAGTGCTCTGTTTGGGAATAGTGGAAATTATATTGGCTACCCTAATGCAGTTTGCAATATTTCATATCATATTTTTATTATATGCTTTCTTTTCCCGTTTATTATACAATCTCACACCTCGTCCACCTGTTTCTCGATAGTTGAGATCTGTTACGGGTGCAATGAATCGAAGTAGCGAGAATTGCACTAAGGTTTCAAACGAGTACAAAATGTGAGCGAAAGCATGAGCGAACATTTATACGCGAAACATGCAAACGGTAACACGGTGCATGCGAGCTAGCTAGTGCTACGCTGGAAGCGAGGCTTGGGTGTCAAATATTATAGCCTGTAGTGGGTTGGGCTACATGGGGTACAACTAGTTAGGGTTAGGTCATGTACCCCAATTCTGTCAATACAGCGCATTCCGCTGTAGTTCTCATTATGACATGGTATCAGCAGTAGGTTAGCGCTCCTAGTCCTAGGCCCGCCCTTCCCTACCACTAGGGTTACCACTGCGCCCTGCCAGCCCGCTAGCGCCCTACCCCACGCCCCAGCCGGCGCCCCTCCCCTCCCCGCCCTTAGCCAGCGCGCCCGCCAGCCAGCCAGCGCGCCAGCCAGCCAACCAGCGCGCCAGCAGCCTGCGCGCCAGCCAGCCAGCCAGCGCGCCAGCCAGCTAGCGCGCCAGCAGCCAGCGCGCCAGCCAGCCAGCGCGCCAGCCCGCCAGCGCGCCAGCCAGCCAGCCAGCGCGCCAGCAGCCAGCGCGCCAGCCAGCCAGCGCGCCAGCAGCCAGCGCGCCAGCCAGCCAGCCAGCGCGCCAGCCAGCCAGCGCGCCAGCCTGCCAGCGCGCCAGCCAGCCAGCGCGCCAGCCAGCCTGCGCGCCAGCCCGCTTGCACGCCAGCCCGCCAGCGCGCCCGCCAGCGGGCGCACCAGCGAGCCCGCCGGCTCGCCTGCCAGCGCGCCCGCCAGCGAGCTCGCCAGCGCGCCCGCTAGCACGCACGCCAGCGGGCCCCGCCAGCGCGCACGCCAGCGCGCCGCGCCCGCCAGCGCGCGCCCTGCTTAGCCGCTTGCCAGCGCGCCGCGCCCGCGCGCCACGCCAGCCGGCGTGTCGCGCCGGAGCGCGCCCCGCCAGCGCGCGCCCCGCCGCCCCGCGCCCAGCTAGTGCGCGCCCCGCCTGCGCGCACCCGCCTCGCACTCACCTCCCTCTCCTCCTCCTCTCGCGGCTGGCGGCCGCTATCACTTGTCCTCGCCCCTCATGGCGACGTCTCGCGTGCTCCGTTTTGACCCTGAGGGGCGTGCGATCGACTTTAGTACCTGGCTGACGCAGGCCCAGCGCCACCTTAGGAGCCAGCGCCAGGATGGCGTGCACCTGTTTGCGCATGCGTCCGGTGCTCTGCCCGCCCTGCCGCAGCCTTCACCGCTGCCCACTACCCCACCGCCTACTTCCGAGCAGGAGGCTGAGTACCAGCGCCGGTTCCTCGCTCGTGACGTGTGGGAGTCTCGTGACGCTGCTGCCTGCCTCGCCCTGACCGACCTTCTGCCGCCGACTGAGGCTGTCCACTTCACTCAGGTCGAGTCTGCTGCAGACCTTTACACTGCTATTGTTGCTCGCTACTCCACTCCCTCCTCTGCCTCCCTCAGGCGCCTCCTCGTCCCCTTTATCTACCCTGACCTCGCCTCCTTTGAGACTGTCGCTGACCTCGCTACCCACCTGCGCTCCCTTGAAGCTCGCTTCAAGGCCGCTTGCACTGAGGAACAGCTTGCCCTTGCACCCCCCCCCATGTGGCTCACTATTCACTGGTTAGTCACTCGCCTCCCTGACCGTCTAGCCACAGCCCGCGACGCGCTTCTCCTGAAGCACCCCACTGAGCTTACTATCGATCTTCTTGAGACCGCTCTCTCGAAGATCGAGAGTAACCTCCTCGCTGTTGCCTCCGCCTCTTCCGCGCCTCCTCCTTGTCTCTTTGAGGGGTGTGCGGTACCACAGCTTCCCACCTTCACTGCCTCGCTTGCCACTGCCGCGTCTTCTGCCTCTGAGGAGACGGCGGCCGTTTCTGTCTCTGGCGGACAGAAACGTGGCAAGTCCGGCAAGAAGGGAGGGAAGGGCGGCGGGGGTTCTGGGGGTGTTGCGGGTGGCGGCGGTGGCGGTAGTACTAGTGGCGGGGGTGGCGGCGGGGGTGACTCGGGACCTGACGGCTCTCCTCTAGATGGTGGTGAGGGGTTTTCGCAGCAGCAGCAGCAGACTCCTCCGCAGCTGCCACCGCCTGGACAGCAGCAGCGGCAGGGACAGCAGCAGCAGCGCCAGGGCCAACAGCAGCGTCCGCCTCAGCAGCAGCCCCAGCAGTGGGGCACTCTGCAGCAGTGGGGCACTCAGCAGCAGTGGGGCCCTTTGCAGCAGTGGGCCCCCCCGCAGCAGTGGAGACCTACGGGCCCCCCGAGCACTGGGCGCAGTGGTGCCCCTTCTAGTCGGGGACCCCGCTCGGCCGGCCGCGACGTTGGTCCCTGTGAGTACTGGATCCTGACGGGTCCGCGCAGGGGCACGTACTGCGGCCGCCCTGACCACTCTGCTGCACGCTGCTTCAGCCGTCTTGACGACCTGTACGTCCTGCACCACGGTCCCTCCGCTCCCCCGCCACCGCGCTGGGGACCACTCCTTGCTCGTGGTGTTGCTGTGTTTGATATGTCTATGGATGATGCTAGGTCTTATGCCATGTATGCTGATGTTGACTATAGTGCTGTCGGATCTGTTTACTTGCCTGTACCTAGCGTAGGATCTTTGCCTGTTGCTAGAGTAGGTGCTGGTGTAGGATCCTGTCTAGCTACTAGTACAGGTGCTCCCTCGGCGGACGCGTCGCTCTCCTTCACACTGGACTCCGGAGCGACGCAGTGCTTCTTCCGCGACAGCACGACTCTTACTCCACTCTCGGCGCCGGTTTCTGTAGCACTGGCCGATCCCTCTTCGGGACCGGTCATTGCGACTCACGCCACTACCCTCCCGTGCCCAGCTGCCCCTTCCGGTTCTCTGACCGGCCTCCACGTTCCTACTTTCTCTAGGAACCTGGTTGGTGTGGCTCCTCTGGCGCGATAGCACGTCGGGGTCTGGTTTGAGCCTTCGGGTGACACTGCAGTCCGTGTGGACGGTGACACGTACGCCCCTCTGGCCACTTTTCGTCAGGAGCCGGGCTCTGGTCTGTACACCCTCCACACCGACACCCGTCCGGTTCCCCCGTCCCACCAGGTAGCCAGGTCCAGTCCGGTAGCTGTGCCAGGTCTAGTGGCTGCGTCGTGCTCGTGTCGGTCGCTGTCCCACCCTGCCCTCCTCTGGCACCACCGCCTTGGTCACCCGTCCCTCTCTCGTCTCCGCGCTATGTCCAGTCAGCGTCTTGTCTTAGGCCTCCCCCGCGACCTCCCGCCGCTCCCGCCGTCCCCCGCTCCTCCGTGCGGTCCTTGTGTCCAGGGTCGGCTGCGCGCCACTCCTCACTCCTCCTCCCTTCGTCCAGCCTCCGAGCCCTTTGAGACACTCCACTTAGACGTCTGGGGCCCCGCTCCCCGGCTTGGACCTGAGCGAGAGAGCTTCTTCCTAGTGGTCGTTGACGACTACTCTCGGTACACCACCGTGTTCCCTTTGGCGAAGAAGTCCGACGTGACTTCTACGCTGATCCGGTGGCTGCTCGCCACCGAGAGTACTCGTCGTCGTCGTGTCAGTTGTCTCCACTCCGACCGTGGGGGTGAGTTTCGCTCCGGCATTCTCGCCAGATTCTGTGCTGAGCAGGGCATTACCCAGTCCTGGACTCTTCCAGACTCTCCACAGCAAAATGGGGTTGCTGAGCGCCGGCTAGGCCTGGTCATGGAGATTGCCCGCACCTCCATGATCCACGCCCGCGCGCCCCATTTTCCGTGGCCCTACGCGGCTAGGTACGCCGCTCACCAGCTAAACCTCTGGCCTCGCGTCTCTCGGCCAGGGGCTTCACCGACCAGTCTTTGGACAGGGTCCCCTGGTGTTGCGTCGAGGTTTAGTGTCTGGGGCTGCTTGGCGCTTGTCCGCGACACCTCTGCGGACAAGCTCTCACCTCGCGGCGTCCCCTGTGTCTTCCTTGGTTTCCCTGAGGCCTCCTTTGACTTCACCTTTTACCACCCTCCCTCCCACCGGTTCTTTGACTCTCGTGACGTCCGTTTCGACGAGTCCGTCCCCTACTACGTCCGTTACCCCTGTCGAGGTCTCCCGGTCCCCCCCCCTCCCCTCTTCCTCGCCCCAGCTCCTCCTCCTCCCGCTCCCTCTCCTCCGGTACCCCCCCCGGTTCCCGCTCCGTCAGGTGTGTCGCAGGCTACCCCCCCTCCCTCGGTCCCCCCCCAGGTCTCTCCTCCTTCCCCACAGTCGTCCTCACAGCCTCCGCAGCAGCCGTCGGCGCTTCCTCTCCCGGCCACTGCGGACTCTGAGGGTGTTGGTGCTCAAGGTGAGGGCTCTGGCGGTGCCGGTTCTGGGGGTGTTGGAGTTGGAGCTGAGCGTGCACCTGCCGCAGCTGCACGTCCCGAGCGTGTTGGAGTCGGTGGTGGTGCTGGAGCTGGTGGTGTTTCTGGAGCTGGAGAGTCTGGGGCTGGTGCTGGTGCCACTGGCGGCACCACGACTGGGGGTGCGGGTACACCTCCTACAGGTACTGGTCGTGCTGCCGCAGGGGGTCCTCGCTCTGGGGGTGC